CTTGGGGTTGGAATTTTCAGCTTCGCCATGCCTTATCACACTGAATGCCACTACGATTCTTAAATCTCTCAAACCAAGCTTTGCTGGCCTTAAATTCACCAATATGAGCACTAGTTCCAGGCATTTTTTCCTGTTCATCTGGGTGTTAGTCGACTGTTGTGGGTCGCATCCTGGGGGATAAGATTAAGGACCCCTAAGGAAATAAGTTAGACAATCCTCGATTAAACACTGACTTTCTTGGGTTATCCTGGGTGGCTAACCCTCTGGGGTTAATTGTTTCTCGGTATTCTCGATAAGCCACACCAACAATAGTCTTTCCACATCTTCGAGTAGTACAGCTGACCGTAGCGCATCAGCAGCTGACGGTGGTGCAGCAACAGCTTATGGTAGTACAGCAGCAGCAGCAGCTGATGGTGTAGCAACAGCTGATGGTAGTGCAGCAGCAGCAGCTGATGGTGTTGCAGCAGCAGCTGACCATGGTACAATAGTATTTCGAGAGTATTTCTCACCCTTTTTAGCACTAGAAGCCTTCTTGGGGCCCATGGTAGCTTATCTATTAGTTACAAGCACTAAAAATACTGGAATAATACAAAATATATCGCAAGTACACTTGGAATTGACCGCAACGGCTTGTAAACATTGGCACACTGGCTATTCACAGAGTCTTGGAGTGGCTGGGCCCGCTCAGGCCGCATGCTGTTAGACGAGTTTTTCGTCGTTGGTAGAGCCAATTTTTTGATGCCAAAGAGCACCGTTAGATGAAATTGTCGTTACTTGATGCCGCCGTTGGGCCGGGGGGGGGGGGGGGGGTCCACTGTATAACATATGTACCACTAATTTCACACATTTGCAACATCTGCCACATTGTTCCCCTATCCGCCCTATCATGCTCTGTAAAAAACAGTGGACCCTCCAATATTGGCCATTCTGGGTGTAGGCCAAATCGGATTTCGGCCACTTTTTTGGCCGAAATTCTATTCTAGATTTTGGCCGGCAACTCGGAAATCGGCTGTATTGGACGTGCCCGCCCGCATTTGTGAGTCAGTCTGGCTGTGTTTCTGGGTGAGTGAGCAAGACTCCGTTCATTCATCCAAACATGTCGTTATAATCTATTGTGTTTTGTGGTTGTTGATTGAGTGCAGCTGTGAAATATACCACCATGGGCCCAAAGAAACTTCCTGGTAAAGAAAGTGAGAAACACGATAGAATTCAAGAAAGAAATTGTAGGTAAGTACGAGAGTGGTGTGTGTGTGTCCTGGAGCTTGCAAGGATGTATGGGAAATCCAAATCAGCAGTCACTTCCATCTTGGCAAAGAAAGTAGAAATCAAGGAAGCTAATGTTGCAAAAGGTGTAAATATGCTAACAAAACAAAGATCACCAATAATCAAACATGTGGAGGCGTTATTGTTGCTGTGGATCAGCGATAAACAATTAGAGGGAGATATTGCTGTTGAGTCAATCACTTGTGAAAAGGCAAGGCAGCTGCATGCAGATCTCGTAAAGAAAATGCCTCTAACGAGTGCTGCTGTTAGTGAATTTAAGGCCAGCAAAGGCTGGTTTGAGAGATTTAACCCCTTGACTGTCGCAACCTCAAATCCTGAGATATCTCCTGGTGTCGCAAAATTTAAAAAAAAAAAATATTTTTTCTTATGAAGTGATAGAGAATCTTTTCCCGATAGTAATAACACCAAAAGAACGAAATTTGATGGAAAACTGACAGAATTACACTCTCGCAAAGTTAGCAACCTTGGCGATATTTACGAATCGACAATTTCGCCCACTTTGAGCCCAATTTTCGGCTAATTCCGTTGTTCCAATTGACCAAACTCATAGCTATTTCTTTAGAACTCCATTTTTTTCTATCGATTGAGTACAAGAAACTGCCTGTTTACAGATTTCAACTACCCAATAACGTGGTCAGAAATTTGCAATTTGGCCAATTTCATGAAAATTTATAAATATGACAATTTCAAAATAGGGTCCAGAATGAACAATGCAGAATTCCTGGTTCTAAAATAACATTTTCTTTGTTCATCACTCATGTTTCCAGGCCCCTCTGATATTACTCTTGCTTTCTATTTTGAATTTTTATTCCAACAAAAAGTAGAAGATTTACTGTTATGCAGACTACTGCAATATAGTAATAATTGTACAAATAATGTCAACCCATTCATGGCTGTATATTAGAATGGCTAGTTGGACATTTATTGGACAATGTCGTCATTTGTTTACTTTTGAACATCGGCAAAAATCAAACATTTCCCCTATTTTCAGCTCCATTTCAAGGTTCTTTTCATGGTAAAACCGATCAAAATCACATCTATTTCTATAATATGTTTTCCATTCTATCAAATGAGACAAAGAAAACGAGAATACAGTGGACCCCCGCTTAACGATCACCTCCAAATGCGACCAATTATGTAAGTGTATTTATGTAAGTGCGTTTGTACGTGTATGTTTGGGGGTCTGAAATGGACTAATCTACTTCACAATATTCCTTGTGGGAAAAAATTCGGTCAGTACTGGCACCTGAACATACTACTGGAATGACCAACCATACTGTACAACCATAAATACTATACGAAAATAGACCACAAAGTCGGCATTTTAACTAAAGAAAACGGTCGGAGTTTTTTTTTCTCATGCACTGCGTGCTGCAGGATTTTTTTTATATGGCGCACACAGACCCATTCTCTCACATGTGGGCCTACCAGCTTTCTCCTGCTTGATTTGAAGCCGCTAGAATTTATGAGTATATATATATCAAAAACGGTGGCTCCTAAGACGTATATATACGACCAAAACAGTCAAAGGGTTAAGAAGCGTAGTGACATACACAGTGTTGCAAGGCATGGCGAGGCTGCAGGTTCAGACAAATGTGCAGCTGAAGAATTCGTGCATGAAGTGAAGGAGTACGTAGAGGTTGAAGGATTCCTGCACCAACAAGAGTTTATTTGTGATGAAACAGGCCTCTTTTGGAAGAAAATGCCAAAGAGGACCCACATCATACTGGAGGAAAAGGCACTGCCAGGACACAAGCCTGTGAAGGATAGGCTTACACTTTTGTTCTGTGATAACTCGGGTGGGGATTTCAAAGTGAAGCCTTTACTCGTGTATCACTCTGAAAGTCCAAGAATGTTCAAGAAAAACAATGTTGTCAGGAGTAAATTGTGTGTGTTGTGGAAAGCTAATAATAAGGCATGGGTTACGAGGCAAATTTTTATTGACTGGGTCCATGAAGTGTTTGGACCGAGCGTGAAAAAATACCTCCAGGAAAATAAATTGCCATTCAGGTGCTTCCTGGTACTGGACAGTGCTCCTACTCATCCTCCTAACTTGGTAGATCAGTTGTCTGTGGAGTTAAGATTTATAACAGTAAAGTTCTTGCCTCCTAACACCACTCCTCTCATCCAGCCCATGGACCAGCAGGTCATTTCTAGCTTCAAAAAACTCTACATGAAAGCAATGTTTCAAAGGTGCTTTGAAGTGACCTCAGACACTGACTTGACCCTAAGAGAGTTCTGGAAGAATCACTTCATTATCCTCCATTGCATAAGCCTTATAGGTAAGGCTTGGTAGGGAGTGACTTCCAGGACTTTGAACCATGCATGGAGAAAATTGTGACCAGAATGTGTCCAAGAGAAGGATTTTAAAGGGTTTGAGGCTGGCCCTGACCCTGACCCTGTCGACCCTCTGCCTTTTGTGGAATGTATTGTGACTTTGTTGGATGTGAGTAGCCAAGATATGGAAGAGTTAATGGAGGACCACAGGGAAGAGCTAACCACTGAATAGCTGCAAGACCTTCATCTGCAACAGCAACAGACCACAGCTGAGGAAACTGCTTCAGAGGAGGAGGAAGAGAGAGGGGAGAACGTGCCTTCTTCACTGATTAAGGACGTGTGCAAAGTGGAATGAGATGCAAAGTTTTGTGGAGAAATATCACCCTGACCAAGCTCAAACAAGCCATATCTGCAGCATGTTCGGTGACAAAACCTTGTCCCACTTCAGGTAAATCTTAAAGAAATGCCAGAAACAGACCTCCCTGGACAGGTTTTTTGTGTGACAAGGGGACAGTGACTCAAGCTGGTCCTCGTGGCAGTAAAAGACAAAGAAGGGAAGTAACCCCAGGGAGGGTTTTGATACCTGAAGTCGTTATGGAGGGGGACTGCCCTTCCAAATAATAAACTCTCCTCCAAATAATACTCTTCCCTCCTTGCCTTCTTCCATATGCCAACAAGAGTCTTTAATGAAGGTATGTAATGTTCATTTATTATTAAAATAAGTGTTTTATATTTCTTTCTCATTGTTTTGTGTATGTAAAACTAGAATTAATCTTTAAAAATGTATTTTTTTGTTAGTATTTTTGGGTGTCTGGATTGGATTAATTGTATTTACATTAGTTCTTATGGGAAATATTATTTCGGTTTTCGGTCTTTTCGGATTTAGGCTGACCTGGAACGAATTACAGCCGATAACCGGGGGTCCACTGTACATAAATTCAAAAAAGGGCTCCTTACCCTTTTCTAACAAAGGCTTTCTTATTCTCTCTAATTTGCTCTCCTGTTGCACTCTCATCACTCATTTGTATCTTAACGCCCATCTCTCACCAAGACAGCATCTCTTTACCTTGTACAAATTTCTCATGAAATTACTCTTTCTTCCTTACTACCCTCTTGACATAACTTTCCACAAAGCATTCCTTTCCCCACCTGCACCTCCCCTCTTATTACCAATAATCCAATGTTCACTCTGGCACTACTTCTTCAAGCTACCTCTTACCTCTTCGACCTCCTCTTCATTTCCTTTACAAACACTAGCCCACTTTTCTTTCAGCACTTGTTTATACTGCCACCAATATATAGTCTTGCAGACTTCTGTCTTTGCAAACTATAAAAAAAAAATAACGAAATTAGCATTTTAATAAGAGTAAGTACTAAGCTCTGAAGTCAGGATATTTTATATTACATGTTTCATATTTACCCTATTTCTTGTATCCCAGGATGCAACACAGCAGCTTGTGCCACTGCCTCCTGAGGAGCATCATTATCATTCTTATCTGGGTAAGTCTTCCAGGTTTTGTGTGGTGGTATGTACTTGCATCTTCCAACTGTTAGATTGTGGTGCTCAGTTGGTTGTCTATTATTTATTTCATACTGCAAGTTTAGAGGGAATTTTACTAGGCTAGAAGATAATTAGCTAAGAGCTGAGCTCTATTAGGACAAAATTTATGCCAGAAAACAATAAAGGAGGTGAGGTGGAAGTTGAGAAATTGTTTCACTATATTGGGATTCATGTGTAGAAGCAGATGTTTGCTAGGCAATTCTGCATTAAATTTTTGTATATCTTGAAATACTGTATTGTGATGTCATTGAATGTATTTTAGAATTGATTTATTATATTTCCAGGTTTGGAGTTCCTGAATGCCAGATATGAGGTAGACTGTACTGCAAAGTCTGATCATCTGAGAGTTTCGTGTGTATTGATGCTTCTTGCATTGATAGCCAACATTGTTCATTAAATTGCCATTGAAAGTAAGCCAAAAACTTAATAATTGTAAAGTTACCCTAGGGATAGTTCATTAAGCACCATTTACGTCTTTGTATAAAGCAAGCACCGTGGACTAACAAAACTGGTAGTGTGATTGTGTTACTATAGAAGCATCCTTTGCTTTTTATTATTTGCATATTTTTTGTATCCTAAACAATTTCTTATTTTTGAGTCTTACCATTAGCTACTGATATGGTGTAACCTTTCTTGCTACTCTCTCGCATAGAAGGATTAATAATAAACTTACACATGCCAACTGTGTTCTGTATTTTAAGTGACTGGTTTTGTAAATGCTTTGAATTTCAAATTATGGGGTTAGAGCAAAATTTTAAGCACTTTGCTAAGTTATCCTCTTAAGAAATATGACTAAACAGTGTTTATGTATGTAAAAGTTAACAAATAACCTTTCTAAGTGTTTGAAAGTAAGGAAATAAAAGAAATAGGACAGGTAATTACAATTGTCTTTTGTAACAGCAGAGATATTTGTACCTGAGATTGCACCAAGTGGGTTTGGGATAAGTCCCTTTTTTCAATCTGTCCTCACTGGCTATGTACAAAATTAAGATATTTAAGAACCTGTACATATTAGATATTAACCCTTAAACTGTCCAAACGTAGATTTACGTTTTCGTGAGGAGCTCTCCGACCTTTATTTTCTCCATTTCAAAGCATGTAGAAAAAACTTAGATCTACATTCAGAGCGCTATGCATGTGAACGTAGATCTATGTTTGGACAGTTTAAGGGTTAAGCAATACAGAGATGCACACTGATGTAGTACTGATACTAGAAATATACAGTAGCGCTACTTTATTTTGCAGTGTTGATGCAAATCTTGCTTAAGCACAAGACATTAAGTCAGGAAAATTAGCTTAAGTTGTTTAGGTTCTCTTAGGTATATTTACAACTCCATGTAGTTTTTGGAATGACTTTGTATGTGTACTGTATTTTCTACAATGCTTTTACAAGTTCAGTAAACAGACTGACGATTGTAATCTATATCTCCACTAATATCTTGCTAGATTGTTCATATTTCCTTCGGTCCAATTTTGTGTGCATTTAAAGTATGGAAAGCTGTTTCCAGTCATATTACAAAGCTCTTATTGCTGTAACTTGCCCTCCTGAGTACTTTCTGATCCTAGATTAGGAGCAAATGCTTTTAGTGCTTGTTCTCCAGTTTTCAGCAAGATTACTAATAATCATTAGAGTACTGGATGATTACTGGTTTGGTAATGCAAATTTACTTATTTATGGGTACCATTATTTTTGGAAGTAGCAAGTTGTATTGATAAAAATAGGCCAGTAGGCTACTACTGGCAGCTGTAATACCTAACTCAAATTGACAGCTGTAGATTTTCACTAGCCATCTTCTGATGGAACTTATGGAATTCATTGTGCAGCGTCCACACTCATTCTTTGAGGGATACTTTCAGTTTACACAGCTCAAGATAATTCCGCCCAGAGCTGTACACAAGGATTTGCTCTTTGTATGGTCCGTGTATCTATATTGTAGCTCATGTGACTTACTACACCTTAATCTTTTATTTTATATACTATTACTAAACAAAGTGCTATCAAAATGTTCCTGGACTGCCACAAAAAAATAGATACAGGCTTACCTAATCACCTAGTTGAATTTTTTTATTTATTATTATCACACTGGCCGATTCCCACCAAGGCAGGGTGGCCAGAAAAAGAAAAACTTTCACCATCATTCACTCCATCACTTGTCTCCTCTTTTTGGGAGGTCATACACTAATCCCAGCACCTCTACCACTTCTCAAAACATTTCTGGAACACTTCTTTCCTAATGGCATCTTGCACAGCCTATGATTCTGCTTAAATCTCCCCCATGTTGTTAAAACAATGCCCCTTGAGTGCCATTTTTATTTTTGAGAAGAGAAAAGTCACAGGGAGCTAAATCCGAGAAGGGAGGGTGGGGGTGACATAATGTTATTTTGGCCAGAAAACATTCATCTTTTTGGTTTTGAGTCAAGAAATGGGGCACAAATTTTGCAGCCACTCACCTTAATGTTCAAATTTTCAATAAAATTCTTTGACATGACTCGTGAGAAATTTCCACGGCACTTGCAGTGTCCTATATATTCTGACAATGATCTTCATGAATAGGCTTCCTTCAATTTTTTCAATGTTGGGGTCTGTTTTTAACGTTGATGGACAACCAGATCGGTCATCATCCTTGACTTGTGTTCATCCTGCTTTGAATCATCCTTGACTTGTGTTGTCCTGCTTTGAATCAAGAAAACCATTCCAAATGTGATGTCCAACTCATTGCTTCATTGCCGAAATGCTTGCTGAAGCATTTTGTGAGTTTCACTTGCTGTTCTTTCTTTTAAAGATTCCATTGTTACACAAAAAATCTCAGCCACACCTACCTGACAAAAAATGCTTATCTAACCTCAGTGGAATGGCTGACCATACTGAAACTCACCATGCTATTTCTCAAAGGAGTGTACTGTGTAATGTGATTTATGCTGCCTGCAAAAATTTGAGTCCATGAACTTTTTGATAGCACCTCATATAAATGGATAAGTAAAGATCTGTCTTTATCATTTAAATATAGGGACAGTAATAATTTATATAAATAATAATAATGATGCATATTACCTAACATTAGTGGTTGCAGTATATAAATATGTATTTTAATTAATCTTAATAACAATAATAATTCCTAGGTAGTAGGTTGGTAGACAGCAACCGCCCAGGGAGGTACTACCGTCCTGCCAAGTGAGTGTAAAACGAAAGCCTGTAATTGTTTTACATGATGGTAGGATTGCTGGTGTCTATTTTTTTGTCTCATAAACATGCAAGATTTCAGGTACGTCTTGCTACTTCTTACACTTAGGTCACACTACACATACATGTACAAGCATATATATATATACACACACACCCCTCTGGGTTTTCTTCTATTTTCTTTCTAGTTCTTGTTTATTTCCTCTTATCTCCATGGGGAAGTGGAACAGAATTCTTCCTATGTAAGCCATGCGTGTTGTAAGAGGCGACTGAAATGCCAGGAGCAAGGGGCTAGTAACCCCTTCTACCGTATAAATTACTAAACTTAAAAAGAGAAACTTTTGTTTTTCTTTTTGGGCCACCCTGCCTTGGTGGGATACGGCCGGTTTGTTGAAAAAAAAAAAAAAGATAGTAATTGCATGCCATAGATAAAATTTGATCAAATTAGTGATATTAACATACTCCACCCTCAGCTGAATACACCTTACTTCCAGTGCAGAGCTGTATGACCCACCTAAGTTAACTTTTGGCTTTGAATATTGTATTTAACTTACAACTCACTGAAATAATATACAGTTTTAACCCTTTGACTGTTTTCGACGTATAAATACGTCTTACGAGCCAATGTTTCTGACGTATATATACTCAATAATTCTAGCGGCTTCAAATCAAGCGGGAGAGAGCTGGTAGGCCCACATGTGAGAGAATGGGTCTGTGTGGTCAGTGTGCACCACATAAAAAAAATCCTGCAGCACACATTGCGTAATGAGAAAAAAAAACTGATCGTTTTTTTTTTTGGAATAAAACGCCGACTTTGAGGTGTATTTTCATATAGTATTTATCGTTGTATTCGCGTTTTCATGGTCTTAGGTGATAAAATGGAAAACATATTACAGAAATAGAGATGATTTTCATTACTTTGACGATGAAAATTACCTTGAAACTGAGCTCAAAGTAGCGGAAATGTTCGATTTTTACCAATGTTCAGGAGTAAATAAATCACACCACACGTCCAATACACGTCAACTGGGGAGTCTAATATTCTTTCACTAGTGCACTGATATTATTTATACCATTTTTACAATAATGCAGTAGTCTGCATAACAGTAAATTTTGTATTTTTTTGTATGAATAAAAAATCAAAATATAAAGCAATAATAATATAAGAGGGGCCTAGAGATGTGACTAATGAACAAAGCATATGTTATTTTAGTGCCACGAATGTCTACCTTGTTTATTCTGGACCCTATTTTGAAATTGGCATCTTTTTTAGTTTGCGTGAAATTGGCTAAATTGCCAATTTCTGACCACCATATTGGGTAGTCCAAATTAGTAAATGGGAGGTTTCTTGTACTCAGCTGATAGATAAAATGGAGTTCTAAAGAAATAGCTATGAGTTTGGTCAACTGGAACAATGGAATTGGCTGAAAATAGGGCTCAAAGTCGGCGAAATCGCCGATACGCATATGTCGCCGAGACCGCTAACTTCGTGGGAGCATAATTCCATGAGTTTTCGACCAAATTTCGAACTTTTGGTGTCAATACCATCATGAAAAGATTCTCTATCATTTCATAAGAAAAAATATTTTTTTTTTTCAAAAATTGAGCGACATAGAATGACAGTTTCAGAAAGGGGCCTGAAACAGTCAAAGGGTTAAGCAAGATTATTGTAACTTATGATACTGTATAAATGTAGCACTGAAATTCATTCCAGTGCCAGAATGTAACTGGTGCCGCTGTTGTATGTTGTACTCATTCTCCAGATCCAGTATAACTTTCATAACCTTCAGGTAAATAAGTAGGGGAAGGAGATAAATAATTTGTGTAACTCTCATGGCTTAGGGGACTTTTAGAATATTAGTTTCACATAGTAATGTTTATAGTAACCCCTTCTCCTTTATACATTGCTAAAGTTAAAAAGAGAAACTTTTCTTTTTCTTTTTGGACCAGCCTGCTTCGGTGGGGTACGGCCAGTTTGTTGAAGGAAGAATTATGTTTATTACTGTGAGTAATTATAATGTGAATCATCATTGACACTGGGAACCTAGACTGAAAGGCAGCAAAATAATGATATACTGTACTTAAAGAAAATAAAAATACAGTGCATGTATTTAAGTATGGAGAAATGAATCTCATTAATGAATTTTTTTGTAAAAGTGTAACACTGGACAAAATTTGCTGCCGAGGTAAAATTTTGTATTTTGGGCTAATTCCAGTACAGCTCTGTAGGCTGATTTTGAATCTGAAATCTTAATTGACAAACAAATAAAGACTTATTTAAAGAAAACTTTGAAATAATATTGTCATATTTTGTGTTGCTGATTAGCATGCACATATGTCAGTTGTGTATTTTTTTTTTTTTTTCAACAAACTGGCCATATCCCACCAAGGCAGGGTGGCCCAAAAAGAAAAAAGAAAGTTTCTCTTTTTAAATTTAGTAATATATACAGGAGAAGGGGTTACTAGCCCCTTGCTCCCGGCATTTTAGTCGCCTCTTACAATACACATGGCTTACGGAGGAAGAATTCTGTTCCACTTCCACATGGAGGTAAGAGGAAATAAACAAGAACAAGAACTAGAAAGAAAATAAAAGAAAACCCAGAGGGATGTGTATATATATGTTTGTACATGTACGTGTAGTGTGACCCAAGCGTAAGTAGAAGTAGCAAGACGTACCTGAAATCTTGCATGTGTATGGGACAGAAAAGAAAAGACACCAGCAATCCTACCATCGTGTAAAACAATTACAGGCTTCCATTTTACACTCACTTGGCAGGACGGTAGTACCTCCCTGGGCGGTTGCTGTCTACCAACCTACTACCTAGGAGTTGTGTAATGTACTTGATATTTTAATAAGCAATGCCTAAAACATGCATTTTTCTGTAGCTAAAAGTCTTGATGTGCTGGGTTAATTCTGACTTTCAGTTTAAAATCTGCATATTCAAGTTAACAGAGGGGACACATTTACTTCAGTAGCAGAAAAAATTATTTTTTACTGTCCAGTGTAATCTGCTTCATTTGTTAAGTATTCATAAATGTATTTACTGAATACTGATATAAGGTGGAGTACAGGATATCTGTGGAAGAGGGGCAGGAAATAAATGTCTGGTAGGGGCTTGAACATTCACGATATTAGAATGAGTGGAGTGAATGGTCCGTCAAACATTAGCTAACTAGATTTGAGGTTTAAATGTTGCAAAATTAAGTGAGAATGTGTTTTGGTAGATCAAAATTGGACCTTGATGTTTGAAACCTTTCCTTGGATCACCCTGTCTTGGTGAGTTTAGCCAAGGAGTTGATAAACAAAATTGAAGTTCATCTTACGTATCTACTGTATTACAGTTAAATGGGATGGTACATGCACACTGATTATAATGTGCAGCTAAAATATATCTGTATATTCGTGGAGCTCTGTCTCAGTTTCTTATAATTTTGATAGTAAAAACCTTGTATTAAATATGGCGAGAAAACTTGGTTTAAGAGGTTTTAAAAGTAAAATAACCATAGGATTGTTGGTTATTTGTATTGCTGTCAAGACAGTTGTATTTTCTCAAACTCGCTGGTAGGCTGAAAAGTGATATAAAAGGTTATAGAGAAGATCATGACTGCAATGGAAAGGGGTCACAGGTGTGGTGGTAGTGTGAAGGGTTGTCTAGATATTGAAAAGTCAGGAAGATATAATGGATAAACTTTGAAAGCAGCTGACAAAGCCCATTAAATTTAGAATCGTCTGTTATTCTTACAGTCCATTGGGTAAATTTACTTTGGATTTAACTGAGAAAATCTGTTCAGTCAGGATTGTCTGGTATTGTTATAGTCTGCTGGGTAAATTTATTTTTGGATTTAACACAGCTTGTTAAATAAAAAATTGTCATACTGTTGTGATCATGAAAAACATTCTCAATTTGTATCTTAACGGACAGTCGGCCTTAACAAACAAAAGATTTGCCTGTACGGTCTGTGTGATCGATAATACCTGTGAGCTAAGAAGGGACCACGAACAAAAGATTTGCTTGTGCGGTCTGTGTGACCAGTAATACCTGTGAGCTAAGAAGGGACCACGAACAAAAGATTTGCTTGTACGGTCTGTGTGACCAATAATACCTGTGAGCGTACGGTCTGTGTGACCAATAATACCTGTGAGCTAAGGAGGGACCACGAACAAAAGATTTGCCCGTATGGTCTGTGTGACCAGTAATCCCTTTGAGCTAAGAAGGGACCACAAACAAAAGATTTGCTTGTATGGTCTGTGTGACCAGTAATACCTGTGATCTAAGAGGGATACTACAATATCACATTGGCTGAAGGTCAAAAGAACTGGGTACTAATGTTTACCTAAGTTTGAGTAAAATTGCAGTTGTTAAACAATCATAAAGTTATTATACCAAACAAAATCTAAAAGTATTCAGGAGAGAGATGTAGGGTGAAGTGAAGGGTGATCCAGTGCCTGGTCATTAAACAAAATAAAATAGTAAAGAAAGAAGAAGCACATTTCCATGTCAGCAAGCCCATCATGCACTAAGTTTGATGTCTGGTTTATAGATGGTTCTGATGCATGCACCACCAAATGACATGGCAAATCCAAAGACCCAACCAATGCTCCTTTGTCTGTTTACAGAAATACTTGAATATAGTAACTTTTCCCTTACAATGACATACTTGTGTCTAATTTTGAGGGTTTTATCCCTGCAGCCTGACCTGAGATTATGATTGTAGAAAAAACTAGGATAAGTTGGCACTAAATGACTGATATAATTTGATGATGGATGATGGAGAAGAGTGTATTGTTGATGAAGATGCATTCAGAATCCTTATCTAGTCTAGTCCACTTTTTAAAGTTTGATTGATGTGCATTCCAGTTTTGTAAGAGTATTTAGGCCGTGTTAATTTCACAGTGGTCACATTAATTTTAACTAGTTAACGTGAGCTGCCTTAATAGTGATAAGGGTTGGTGTTTTTATATTTTTGCTCCATTACTGGGGCTAATTTATTGGATGTTTCCCTACATTGTGTGCGGGAATAGCATTAAAACGAATGTCTCAAGTGCCTATAGATTTTTTCTGAGCTTAACTGTTGTATTTTTTATTATTGAGACAACTGACACTATAATAATTTATCTTCCAGTATTTTTCCTAGGCATCTTTTATGTGATGAGTGCACCTGTGTTAAAGTTGTTTTATGAAGTGTTATATCTACATGTTATTATGAAGTTTCCTCCCACATCACAGTTTTTAATGTCTGGGTATGAAGGTATCCACATGAGCTGGTACTGTCTATCTATATTTACACTTAAGGTGCTAGTACATAGTAGTATTGTAGTACTGTATCAACTTTTAATACTTTTTTCTTTAGTAGCAAAACCATTGGGCACTGTTATGTAGCTTTGGTGCTATAGTATCAAAATTTAAGAACCGCCTACAATTTCTGTTCATATCTTCTAATAAGCAGGGATGTTGTGTTGGAGGGCAATCTGAATTATGATGTTAACACACTTATGGAAAGACTGATTGAGTGAATGAGAATGATGGTGAATGTGTTTTCTTCTTTGGGTCACTCTGCCTTGGCAGGAGAGGGCCATTAAAGTTAAAAAGCATTGAATAATTTAAAGTTTGTTGAAACTGAGAAGAATATTCTGTATTTGATGTTATTCTAGATTTTTCCAATAATTGTCTTTTCTGACTCAAAAAATCATTAAATGATTGCAGACAAATCGCAGAGTAGATGGGGGCTTGAACCTAGTAGTTAGCACACCAGTTTGTGAGTTTTAGCCAGCCATGGGTTCAAGCCCCACTTATTCTGTGATCAGGTTTCAGGAATTATTCTAGGAATTCTTCCTCTGGTTCATGGAACCTTCCACAGAAAGTAGTTGATCAAACATGTACACACACAAGAATTTTATACAATTCTTTTCATATATGGGAGCAAGGGGCTAGTAACCTCATTTCCTGTATAAATTACTAAATTTAAAATGAAAAACTTTTGTGGGCCATTTTTTATGGTCACAACAGCTGTGTAATTTTGTATTGTGCAAGTTTTTAAGATTTTATATGTATCTGTAGTACATATACAGTGGACCCCCGCTTCACGATCACCTCCCAATGCGACCAGTTATGTAAGTGTATTTATGGAAGTGCGTTTGTACGTGTATGTTTGGGGGTCTGAAATGGACTAATCTAATTCACAATATTCCTTATGGGAACAAATTCGTTCAGTACTGGCACCTGAACATACTTCTGGAATGAAATAATATCGTAAACTGGGGTCCACTGTATCTCTAGATCTGCATAAACTGTGGGTAATGCATTTTTATTTTGAAGCTCTTTGTGTAAATTTAGACATACTTGGTATGTCATTTTCATTTAGTTTGTATACACTTAAGACAATTTTTTGTAGTGTTTGCAAGTCTGGAAAGCAACAATACAAAATTGGGAGATTGAGTCCTATGGTTTACTCAAATCAGCAAATCTCACCTTTATCATTATTATTAGTTTAATGTATAAAGTAGTTTACAGATAGATACAAGCATCTTTCTTGCCTAGGAAGTTAATGACAGATTAAATTTGTAGATTGTTGAAAAAAAGGTGGTACAGTACTGTAATAGAGGACACTCATTCCAATATAGACTGCCTTCAGCATTGCAAATGCATCATATTTATTGAGTAATAATAATACAGTAGCATGTGTTTGGAGATGCTGTATTAGTGTAACTACATGTTTTCTAAGTATTTTATTTTATTCAAATAGTATAATTTTTAATTTATACTGTATTGTGTTGCAGTTTTAATTTTTACAATTCTTCTTAACCCTTTCTCTGTCACAACCTTCAAATTTAAAAGGTCTATCATGCAATTTTTAAAGAATAATTATCTTGTTTAGTGGTAGAAAATCTTTTTCTAAAGGTAATGACACCCAAAATGCAAAACATGATGTAAAACCAATGGAATTATGCAGGAGCAAAGATGGAGAACTGGGATCACTTTACACATATGTAGTTTTGCCCATTGAGGCCTGTTTTAGTCCCCAGAATGGCCTAAATTCCTGGCTATGTCACTAGTATGACTGCTGTTGACTGAGTACAAGAAACTGCCCATTCATCTGTCAAAACTACTCTGTATAGTGTAGAATTTATTAATTTGACCAGTTTTACACAATTCAACAAATGCACACCCAAGGTAGACCCATTCTTTCATGTCTGATTCAAAATTTACCTCTCTTGGCATATTTGAAGGTGCTGTGATAAAGTTGTACATAAGCACCACTGGCCTTAATAAAGTATATCAATGTGGCAGACAGTGAAAGGGTTAGCTTATATTTCTACTTTAACAGTATTTACCATTCACTGTTTTATATCATTTAAATAGTTCTTTGTAGAGCCAATAAGTCTGAATGCAGAATGTATAGAGAGAAAATTTGTTATTCTTTCTTGGTATTGACATATATATACATTGAAACTAGTATGTGTAGGTAGCATTGGTTTTTATAATTTTACGTTTTTCTACATAAATTTAAAATGACCTTGATGTGGCTAGTGTAAAGATACCTAAAACAATGGTTTGCCACATACAGAATAGGAGGCAGCTTGTTATCTAACAGTTCCGTCCAGTTGTGTTGTTTTGTTAAATAATAATGTAATAGAGGGTGAAAAATGACCCAAGTGGTAAAAAAAAAAAATGGTTTATATTTTTAAAGGTGTATTCATAACACATGAAATTTTATATTTTGAGTATACTGTGTATAGGTTGAAATTTTTGATACTTTTATTCATTGGTCATCTTACTGTTTATAAATGTTTATTTTTGTACAGCATTTATTTTTGCGTGCAATAGAATATCTCAAGAATCTCTGATCTTTAAATTTATTTTGATTATTAAAGAATATTGGTACAGTACACACTTTAAAGTGACTATCAAGCAGCACACTAATTTGTAGGATACAGTAGTAACAGTATTTTAAGTAGAAAAAACTGTGTACATATATAAATGTGCGGTTTGTAGATAATGCTTTTATTATTTAGATATACTTTTAAGTAGTCCACCTTAACTTTATGCCAAAGTACACAGTTTTATCATAAAAATTATGTGAAAACAAATGACTTATCCAGGTAGAATGGTTGGCCTCACTCACCCATAGGTACTTCACCCTGGGGGTATCCCCTGCCCGTTGATAGATTTCTTGAGTTACAATACAGCATCACTGTGTGGTCTGCTCCAGCTTTACCACCTCATTTAGACTTTTTTTTTTTTTCAATTTCTTCACTCATTCAGTCTTGTGTTGAGTCGTCTTGTTTCTTTCCCTTTACGTTTCCACTTAATACAGGGTTCCTTTCGAATGGCCATTAATTAGTTTTTCCAAGGTGTCTTGAGGGGCATGCATATGATGACTAGCTATTTTTTCAGTATTTCAGTGCTAAATGATCTCCATGATGTTAATAAGGCACAGTATGCAATTAATGGCATTTTATTGAGAAGACATTTCCCACAAAATGAGTTAAGCTTCTTTTTTACATTTTAATGTAAGTTTAATTTCATCCACAAGGGACTTTATGAATTCCCATGAATTATGTTAAGCATTTTTTATATTTTAATAAAAGTTTAATTGTAGCCACAGCAGTATGTAAAAGTCTTAAATCAGTGTTTTCAGATGCTCCTTTAAGAGTTTTTAACACCTAATGACTTACGAAATCACTGGGCAAGTTTGGGTATGTAGCCATTTCTTCAGGTAAACCAAGTATGGTATATAGCTTAGCCACCTCCCCAACAACTCTTCAAAAATCTCAGAACCATTCATTATTAGGGGGTTACATTTATGTGTGGTGCTTTTGATCTTTCCCACTTCAAAGTGTATTGTGTGTTGTTTGGAGGAATGTCGAGATAGTTATTGCCTTCATTACTTTGCTTTCTTCCACAGCCATCTTGATTCTCACACATGCAGAATAATCACGTGTGTGGGTGGGTGTGAGTTGGACCTAAGTGACGTGTCTGACCTCACTAGGTCAGTGAGGTCAGACAGTCAGTGAGCTTAAGGTCACTAGGTCAGTGAGCTTAAGCCGATAAGGGAATTGGACCTGCCTCACATAGGCCAGTAGGCCTGTTGCAGTGTATCTTCTTTCTTATGTGTTTTTTTTTTTTAACAAGTCGGCCGTCTCCCACCGAGGCAGGGTGACCCAAAAAGAAAGAAAAAATCCCCAAAAAGAAAATACTTTCATCATCATTCAACACTTTCACCTCACTCACACATAATCACTGTTTTTGCAGAGGTGCTCAGAACACAACAGTTTAGAAGCATATACGTATAAAGATACACAACATATCCCTCCAAACTGCTAATATCCCGAACCCCTTCTTTAGAGTGCATTCATTGTACTTCCCATTTCCAGAACTCAAGTCTGGCTATATAAAAATAACTGGTTTCCCTGAATCCCTTCACTAAATATTACCCTGCTCACACTCCAACAGATCGTCAGGTCCCAAATACCATTCGTCTCCATTCACTTCTATCGAACATGCTCATGCACGCCTGCTGGAAGTCCAAGCCCCTCGCCCACAAAACCTCCCTTACCCGTTCCTTCCAACCTTTTCGAGGACGACCCCTACCCTGCCTTCCTTCCCCTACAGATTTATACGCTCTCCATGTCATTCTACTTTGATCCATTCTTTCTAAATGGCCAAACCACCTCAACAACCCCTCTTCAGCCCTCTAATACTTTTATTAACTCCACACCTTCTCCTAATTTCCACACTCCGAATTTTCTGCATAATATTTACACCACACATTGCCCTTAGACAGGACATCTCCACTGCCTCCAACCGCCTCCTCGCTGCTGCATTCACAACCCAAGCTTCACACCCATATAAGAGTGTTGGTACTACTATACTTTCATACATTCCCTTCTTTGCCTCCATAGATAACGTTTTTTGACTCCTCATATACCTCAACGCACCACTCGCCTTTTCCCCCTCATCAATTCTATGAGTAACCTCATCCTTCATAAATCCATCCGCCGACACGTCGACTCCCAAGTATCTGAAAACATTTACTTCTTCCATACTCCTCCTCCCCAATTTGATATCCAATTTTTCTTTATCTAAATCATTTGATACCCTCATCACCTTACTCTTTTCTATGTTCACTTTCAACTTTCTACCTTTACACACACTCCCAAACTCATCCACTAACCTTTGCAATTTTTCTTTAAAATCTCCCATAAGCACAGTATCATCAGCAAAAAGCAACTGTGTCAATTCCCATTTTGTATTTAATTCCCCATAATTTAATCCCACCCCTCTCCTGAACACCCTAGCATTTACTTCTTTTACAACCCCATCTATAAATATATTAAACAACCATGGTGACATTACACATCCCTGTCTGAGACCTACTTTTACTGGGAAGTAGTCTCCCTCTCTTCTACACACCCTAACCTGAGCCTCACTATCCTCATAAAAACTCTTTACAGCATTTAGTAACTTGCCACCTATTCCATATACTTGCAACATCTGCCACATTGCTCCCCTATCCACTCTATCATATGCCTTTTCTAAATCCATAAATGCAATAAAAACTTCCCTACCTTTATCTAAATACTGTTCACATTATATACTTCAATGTGAACACTTGATCTACACATCCCCTACCCACTCTGAAACCTCCTTGCTCATCTGCAATCCTACATTCTGTCTTACCTCTAATTCTTTCAATTATAACCCTACCGTACACTTTTCCTGGTATACTCAGTAAACTTATTCCACTATAATTTTTACAATCTCTCTTGTCCCCCTTCCCTTTATATAAAGGGACTATACATGCTCTCTGCCAATCCCTAGGTACCTTCCCCTCTTTCATTCATTTATTAAACAAAAATACCAACCACTCCAACACTATATCCCCCCCTGCTTTTAACATTTCTGTCATGATCCCGTCAGTTCCAGCTGCTTTGCCCCCTTTCATTCTACGTAATGCCTCACGCACCTCCCCTACACTCGCATCCTGCTCTTCTTCACTCCTAAAAGATGGTATACCTCCCTGTCCAGTGCATGAAATTACCGCTTCCCTTTCTTCGTCGACATTTAAAAGTTCCTCAAAATATTCTCGCCATCTACCCAAAACCTCCATCTCCCCATCTCTTATGTTAGTAAAATGTATGTAATTGTTGACCTCCATTAGTTGCAGCTCTTTAGTCTTTGAGTTCGAACTCGGACAGTGTCTGAATTTTCCCCCCTCCCATGTATATCCATATTGTATTTTTCACTTTCTCCTTGGAAAGTTCAGTGATTCGTGTTTGCTCCCCTCTCTTTCTTTCGAAGGTGGAAGGCCAACATATTTGCTATAAACTTATTCTTGAACACTTTCACTTACATTCTCATACTATGGCTGTGTACACCGACTGTTCCATATTCCCATATTTGATGAGTTACACAGCTTTCTCTTCAGATAGAGTAATCCAAGGACATTTACTAGTCTGCCAGCATTTTCTTACCAGAGCTTACTCATTGCTGTCATATACATTACAATTATGTGCATCTCATTTGGAGTTTCAAACTCGGAAATATGACCCCCAACATCATGCTTCATATACAACAGTGGTTATGTTGAATTTCTAGCAAGTACAAAAAGGTAATTTTTTGCAGGGTCCCTTGACACATTGATGTACAGGGTAATAAACACACTCATTTGCTTGCTTCACTGTTCATGATGTTCCATCAAACTGCAGTTAAGCTTCTGGCTGTCTTCTCATTACTGTTGGATGTGGGAAACTGTGCTCACGTATTTACAAATCGGTCATACATGATACTATATGGAAAGAAGCCTGGTACCTCACTTCTAGGAGCGCCCAATGGCTTTAACAGTTAACCATATATTAATAATCCATTCTTTTTTAAGAATCTTCAGTGTCCTGACACACACACTGTCCTCCTCACTGAAAGCCCCACCTTTGATACAGACTCCCTCTATGACTTTTTAAGAGAAACTAATTGCATCATCCGTGATCATTTTGCACCTTCACTGATCCTCAACTTCACTTAGCTTCAGTTTTCGTAACTTATTCTTGCAAATTAAACTACCTATGTACTGTATTTCCCATCGGGCTCGTTTTTTAAATTTTATATTATAATCATTTTTTTTATTAGTTTTTCTATATACCTAAACTGATTAAGGCTGTTTGCATTATATAAAGTGATGCACTGTATGACCCATATGGGATTAGCACTTAGTGATTTACTCGTTTTTTTTTTTTTCCCAAAATTCCCATGAGTGAGTGGCACCATCTAGTCTAGTACCTGCATAAAAGTTTTTTGTGTATAGAGTAGGTTATTTGATTTTAAAGAATTCCTTAAAAGCATTTCACAGAAAAAAAAACTTAATTGTATTTGTGAGGCAGCAGAACTACTCAGTCTACTGTCACATCAAAGTCTTTATTGCAATATTTTGCACAAGAAACTTAAGACCCAACTAAATATTTTTCTGCTCTGATTTATGTTCAATGAATTACTGGATCATAATGTAAACAATGTTCAGTTTGTTAGTAGTGATAGCAGACTGAGTTGTCCAGAAATCTATGCAAATAGACTTACACTGTACACTGGTGAGAAGAGGTCAGTGTCATGAACTTCTTCATTATTAACAGATGATCAGTTGTTGCTGGTATTGCAACTATATTTATATTGAATAGAATTAAATTCTTGTACAGTATATTAACATATTTTTTATACCTATTGATTAATGCACTAAAACCTCAATTTAACAGATTTCAAATTTTATGGACAAAATACAGTGGAACCTTGCCTAACAAGTTTAATCTGTTCTGTGACCTAGCTCATAAGTCAATTTGCTTGTATGTCAAATCAGTTTTAATCATTTAAGTTAATTGAAATGCCATTAATCCATTCCAGCAGAATTCCTGCTCTCTGGAGGCAGGACAAAATACTTGAATATGATGCTAATATCAACTCTGCTGCTTATTTATCTATCACAATTCATCTGATATAATAAACAATATAATAAACACAGAAATACGACATATACTCTAGAATGAATACAATTGGCTATATATGGCGAGTGATGGTGGCAGCGTCTGCCATTTCTTCTTCCACTCTGATTATAGTATCTTCCCATGCTTTTATTATAAGAGAAAAGTGTGTTTGTAAGGATAACTGCAGTAGATCACTAGTTTCCTAAGGAAAACACTGAAACAAAGTATTTATAAATAAGAAATATTGTATAAAAGCAAGAAGGCTGGAGGGAGCGGAGATGTCATGTCTGAGGGCAATGTATGGTGTGAATATAATGCAGAGAATCTGTAGTTTGGAGATTAGGAGGAGGTGTGGGATTACAAAAACTATTATCCAGAGGGCTGAGGAGGGGTTATTGAGATGGTTTGGACATGTAGAGAGGATGGAATGAAATACAATGACTTCGAGAGTATACAAATCTGTAGTGGAGGGAAGGCGGAGTAAGGGTTGGCCTAGGAAAGGTTGGAGGGAGGGGGTAAAGGAGGTTTTGTGTGCAAGGGGCTTGGATTTCCAGCAAGCGTGCGTGAGTGTGTTAGACAGGAGCGAATGGAAATAAATGGTTTTTAGGACTTGCCGGAAGGGATTCAGGGAAACCGGCAGGCGTGACTTGAGTCCTGGAGATGACAAGTACAGTGTCTGCACTCTGAAGGAAGGGTGTTAATGTTGCAGTTTTATAACTGTAGTGTGGGCATGCCTTTGGCAAGACAGTGATGGAGTGATTGATGAAAGTTTTTCTTTTTTGGGCCACCCTGCCTTGGTGGGAAACGGCCGATGTGTTAATAAAATAAAATAAAAACATAATAGAGAATGTAAAGAAATAAACTGTTAATATAACGTGTATATTTACAAGGGCAAGGAGGAATAACATCTTGTAGGAGTGAGGAAGAGCCAGTTGTGAGTGTGGGGGAAGTTCGTGAGGCAGTAGGTAAAATGAAAGGGGGTAAGGCAGCCGGGATTGATGGGATAAAGATAGAAATGTTAAAAGCAGGTGGGGATATAGTTTTGGAGTGGTTGGTGCAATTATTTAATAAATGTATGGAAGAGGGTAAGGTACCTAGGGATTGGCAGAGAGCATGCATAGTTCCTTTGTATAAAGGCAAAGGGGACAACAGAGAGTGTAAAAATTATAGGGGGATAAGTCTGTTGAGTATACCTGGTAAAGTGTATGGTAGAGTTATTATTGAAAGAATTAAGAGTAAGATGGAGAATAGGATAGCAGATGAACAAGGAGGTTTTAGCAAAGGTAGGGGGTGTGTGGACCAGGTGTTTACAGTGAAACATGTAAGTGAACAGTATTTAGATAAGGCTAAAGAGGTCTTTGTGGCATTTATGGATTTGGAAAAGGCGTATGACAGGGTGATAGGGGGGCAATGTGGCAGATGTTGCAGGTGTATGGTGTAGGAGGTAGGTTACTGAAAGCAGTGAAGAGTTTTTACGAGGATAGTGAGGCTCAAGTTAGAGTATGTAGGAAAGAGGGAAATTATTTCCCAGTAAAAGTAGGCCTTAGACAAGGATGTGTGATGTCACCGTGGTTGTTTAATACAGTGGACCCCCGCATAACGATCAGCTCCCAACTTGACCAATTATGTAAGTGTATTTTTGTAAGTGCTTTTGTAGGTGTATTTTTGGGGGTCTGAAACGGACTAATCTAATTCACAATATCTCTTATGGGAACAAATTCGGTCTATAACGGCACCCAAACAGACTTCTGGATTGAAATAATATCGTTATCCGGGGGTCCACTGTATATTTATAGATGGGGTTGTAAGAGAAGTAAATGTGAGGGTCTTGGCAAGAGGCGTGGAGTTAAAAGATAAAGAATCACACAAAGTGGGAGTTGTCACAGTTGCTCTTTGCTGATGACACTGTGCTCTTGGGAGATTCTGAAGAGAAGTTGCAGAGATTGGTGGATGAATTTGGTAATGTTTGCAAAAGATGAAAATTAAAAGTGAATACAGGAAAGAGTAAGGTTATGAGGATAACAAAAAGATTAGGTGATGAAAGATTGGATATCAGATTGGAGGGAGAGAGTATGGAGGAGGTGAATGTATTCAGATATTTGGGAGTGGACATGTCAGCGGATGGGTCTATGAAAGATGAGATGAATCATAGAATTGATGAGGGGAAAAGGGTGAGTGGTGCACTTAGGAGTCTGTGGAGACAAAGAACTTTGTCCTTGGAGGCAAAGAGGGGAATGTTGAGAGTATAGTTTTTACCAGTGCTCTTATATGGGTGTGAAGCATGGGTGATGAATGTTGCAGCGAGGAGAAGGCTGAGGCAGTGGAGATGTCATGTCTGAGGGCAATGTGTGGTGTGAATATAATGCAGAGAATTCGTAGTTTGGTAGTTAGGAGGAGGTGCATGATTACCAAAACTGTTGTCCAGAGGGCTGAGGAAGGGTTGTTGAGGTGGTTCGACATGTAGAGAGAATGGAGCGAAAACAGAGTGACTTCAAAGATGTATCAGTCTGTAGTGAAGGAAGGCGGGGTAGGGGTCGGCCTAGAAAGGTTGGAGGGAGGGGTAAAGGAGGTTTTGTGTGCGAGGGGCTTGGACTTCCAGCAGGCATGCGTGAGCGTGTTTGATAGGAGTGAATGGAGACAAATGGTTTTTAATACTTGACGTGCTGTTGGAGTGTGAGCAAAGTAACATTTATGAAGGGGTTCAGGGAAACCGGCAGGCCGGACTTGAGTCCTGGAGATGGGAAGTACAGTGCCTGCACTCTGAAGGAGGGGTGTTAATGTTGCAGTTTAAAAACTGTAGTGTAAAGCACCCTTCTGGCAAGACAGTGATTGAGTGAATGATGGTGAAAGTTTTTCTTTTTCGGGCCACCCTGCCTTAGTGGGAATAGGCCAGTGTGATAATAAAAAAAAATAAAAAAATAAAATGGAGTTTTTTCTTTTGTAATGGTATAATAAATATTTTCATTTTGAAGCCAAAAGTTATGGAGTACAATATGCAAAACATCTACAGCTCAAACACACAGAAACACATTATCTTCATCTATAACTCAAGCTGTATTGATTTGACCCATTTTCATGGTGAAGGAGCTCTTGATCTGAGAAATTAGAACTCTTGTCCCTTTCCACAAACCGAATCTACATTTTTTTTTTCAGCACGTCGGCACGCTCCCACCGAGGCAGGGTGAACCAAAAGAAAGAAAAACACTTTCACTATCAGTCGATACTTTCACCATCACTCAACATAATCATTATCTTTGCAGAGGCACCCAGATATGGTAGTTTAGATAGTCACTCCAAACTGCCATTATCCCAAAACCCCCCTCCTTTAAAGTGCAGGCATTGTACTTCCCATTTCAAGGACTCAAGTCCAGCTAACCACTTTCCCTGAATCCCTTCACAAAATATTACCCTGCTCACACTCCAGCTCATCAGGTCCCAGAAATCATTCGTCTCAATTCACTCCTTTCTAGCACGCTCACACATGCTTGCTGGAAATCCAAGCTTCTCACCCACAAAACCTCCTTGACCCTCTTCCTCCAACCTTTTCGAGGGCGACCCCTACCCTTCCTTTCTTCCTCTACAGATTTATTCGTTCTCCAAGTCATTCTACTTTGTTCCATTCTCTCTAAATGACCAAACCACCTCAACAACCCCTCTTCAGCCCTTTGACTAATACTTTTAGTAACTCCACACCACCTCCTAATTTCCACACTATGAATTCTCTGCATAATATTTACACCACACATTGCCCTTAGACAGGACATCTCCATTGCCTCCAGCTGCCTCCTTGATGCAGCATTTACAACCCAGGCTTCACACCCATATAAGAGTGTTGGTACCACTATACTTTTGTACATTCTCTTCTTTGCCTCCATGGATAATGTTTTTTTATCTCCACAGATA